CTTTATTTATTTTCGATTTTTGCATCTGCATTTTTTTAAAAACACCTCATACCCCTGAAAAATACACATATTCATTTCTAAAAAAAATACAGGTAAACTCGGGCACCTTGTATTTCATTATAAAAAATGACAAAAAAAAAATTATGCGTTTCTTTATATATTTGTTTGAATTTTCTTTAAATCAAAGTTAGTTTTTCATTTTTTAAAAATCCTAAACAAAGTCGGATTCCAAAAAAAAAAAAAAATGGGGTTGTAGGGCTTAAAATTCCCTAGAACCCCATATGTTTTTTKTTTTTTTTGGCCTATTATTTAATTCAGGAAAAATTTAGTAAAATCGGGTCCGCGGCGCGGACCCGGTAAGCCGCGGAGGCGGCCGTGAATACGTCCGCCCTCCGAGCTCGGCCCCGCGGACAAGTCCCCGGGTGTTTCATAGCGCAGGGGTAGAGCAGATACAGGTCTAGAAAGTAGAAGAAGAGGGGAAAAGATGGAAAAAAGGGAGAACGTCGTGAATCTAATCGCGACGCAGGGCCCGATGCAGGGGTAGAAGCATCTGAACTCTAAGTTGACAGCAGACTGTTGAACTTCAACAGTCTGCTCTATTTGGCTCTATACAGCCATTTAGGGCTGCATCTGGCCGGGGGTAGTGGCCAGATGCGTCACCAGGGCCTGACACTTGGTTCCCCTAGGGGAACATCAAGTTTCTCAACCCTTGATCTTTTGAGATCAAGGGTCAGGCCTCACTCCGGATTTTGGCTGGGGGCAAAGCAGCTGCCCTCAGCCTCCAACCAGCTATAAAACAGCCAGCAACCAGCCAACCAGCATTCATTTGTGGACATAGCTGTGAAACACAGCCATAGCCGCCATCTCAACGAGGGAAAGAGAGAGAAGCGTTGGAGATCTGCAGAGAGCATGGGAGTGAGGGTAGCCATAGGCCCATAGCTGCAGCTGCACTTGGAGGAACGCAGGGGAGGTGCTGTTCGCTCGGCACGACAATGGCGACACTTTTTTGCGGTGACGCGAAAGCGCTGCCGATTTTTTGCAGGGGCGGCACTGAGATTTTAGCGGTGATGCAGAAGCGCTGCCGATTTTTCGCGGAGGCGGCACTGAGATTTTGGTGGTGACGCGGAAGTGCTGCCGAAATTATTCGGCGTTGACGGTGTTTTTTTTGGCAGCAACGAGGAAGTGTTGCCGAACTTTTGCGGCGGCGGCAATGCGTTCTAGGTGGTGGCGCGGAAGCGCTACCCGTTTTGCCTTGACTGTGAGGGACATTTTGTGGCAGCGTACTCTAGTATTGATGACAACGGCGTGGTGGTGAGGTTAGTGTGACGGCGATGCTGAGAAGTCATCAGATTATTGGGAAGTGATTATGTGTTGAGAAGGTATTGTGGCAAGCGGTCGTCGCAAGGGAGTGGTGTGGATCACTTTACTGATGGCTCGTTGTGAAAGTTTCTCATATGAAGGCGATAATTTATACGGTTTTCTTGAGTGCGCTGTACATCATTTTTACTCAAGGTCAGTCTGTTAATTGGTCAGTTTGACTCAGACCCCTTCACACCTGTGTGAACCCATTCTTGTTTGATCCTGTTCTTTGAATGTTCACTGAAAAGGTAGAGGAAATCTGTGTTTATGCGCGTGCATAGAAGTCCGACATGAGTTTGGGATTGCATTGTATTTTTTTGAACTTGTTGTTTGATCTGATGTGCAAGTAGGTAGAAGGATGCCTAAAAAAAAGGAATCTTGCCATGTCAATAGCAATGAGAGAATGATATTTGTTTTTTGTTGCTCACCTGTATGTATGTTGAAGGGATGGGAAGTCAGTAGATGACGAGAAATAAAGCGACCACACAAAAAAGAAGAAATCAATTGGACATATATTTTTTTTCCCTAAGGTTACTCGTTCTTTTCCGAATGACCCTCCCTGTCTATGCCCGTCTATCTGAATGATTTTCTCTTCTGTGATCTCTTTTCTTTGTTTAAGTTACCCTTGACGTAAGGTGACAAGAGACCATTTTGCCTGCCGTGGTAGACGTCTTTCTCTTTCCTAGGAGGCATCTGTTCACTGCCTTAGGGATTGACCCTGCTTACGACTCGAAGTGGACTGCTCATGCGGGGGGATACCATGTTGTTGTGGTGGAGCCAGCCCAACTTTTGAGATCCGAGGTTCGCTTCGGCGAGGACGAGGGGTATCCTAGACCACCCCCTAGGGAAAGGACATACGCCTATTCACAGAAAGGCCTTCAGTTTCTTGACGTCTCGCGTTAAGGGGAGCTGTCATAGTATACCCCTCTGGTGGTCGTCTTAGGAGCCACTGACGTATGGGGAACTGGCGCCAGAAGAAGCCCAATATGTGTAATTGCTAGCCTTGGATGGAGTGCGAGTAGGTACTAGCTTTGCGGATAGGTTTGCACCATAAGAAGTGCAAACCTGGGGAAGTTCAGATGGGTTGATAGGAAGTTGCGACTAGAGCAACGCTTTGAAGATTCTTATGATGAAGATGAATACTTCATCATTCGTGGGACGAAAAAAACCATTGTTGTCCAGGAGGACGAAGGAACCAACAAAATTTGGAAGCAGACCCCCGTCCTCGGCAAGGCAACCATTGCGTCGGTTGTCTAAATCAGCAACTAATTTGAATAGTGGTCGCTGGATTACTAGCGGAAGTCATTCACACCAGAGTTAAAAGATATTGAAGTCACCATTAAAGCAATGATATCCTAGCTCTACTTGAAAGTTCGGAGATGTCTGCGTTTCTTTTCTAGCAGTCAGTATGGGGCGGAATGAAAGAACTCGGCAATGCATCTCATCAAGTCGAAAAGTTGTGTCAGCTCACCTATTTGGCAGACAGAGTGGAGATATTTTGGTCAGACGCAATTTGAGCGTCGCTATGCATGTTAATAATGTTTTTATCCTTTTGTTGATAAGTGTTATTTGAAGTCGAGTCAACTCATGTTGGCTCGTCGTTGGATGAAAATCAAGCTAACTTTTGTCGATTTGATTTGAACGAGTGGTACGCATGATTGTATCGACTTCAGAAGATAAGTCAACTTACGTTGACCTGAGTCTTCTTTATTTGAAAGTGTTTTGTCTGAGTAACTTTTGATTGTCTTTGAAAGAAGGGACGAGGATCGCTCGAAGTTTTTTTCTTACACTTAAATTATCATGTCCTAGTCGATCGGGGTCGATCCGATTCCTGGGATATCAGCGCCCTAGGGACGAACGGCGCTCGAGTCCGCTTTGGCGTTCAACCTCGCATACCTATGCTACAATGAACGAGCAAACGCCCTCGGACGGCTTGCCTCTACAATTGCATCATAAAAGCCTTTGCACGCGGGCTGGTAGCTTAGTAGGGATACGCCCCTAAGGGTGGTGACAACCCCTTAGGGAAGGTAAGTTGTGCCCCGCGAGAACCTATCTTGTCGTAGGGGACCACAGGATGTACAGCTGGCGCACTCGGGCGTAGCGGCGAAGCGTCGACGCAGGCTACCATGTCACCCCCTAGTTGTCTCTAAACAATTGAAAACCTAAGTTTCTCCTGCGTGACGCAGCCAGGAGGGCTCCCGCGCTTTGCAAAAAGGCGGGAGCCGATGCGCTCAACAAGTGGCGTCGTTGCTGGGGATAACGACAAACTATCGTTGTCCCTGGTGGAACGATACTCGGGAACGGAACAAGTAAAAAGTTACGCTTTTGTGGTTGTCTAAGAAAAAAGGTTAGTAATCTTTGAACTTCTACAAATGTAAGGGAGAAACCTTAATAGATGGCACCAAACTTCTAGACTGATTTCTTTGGTTTATGTCTTGGACTCAAGATGGACGGGGCCGCAGGACGTCACGATAACGTCGACGATGAGAGGAACAACATTCGAGAATTGGCATGGGTCATCCGGCAGTCGCAGCGAGAGCCTTACCCCAAGATTGATGTTTCGTTGTTCGATGGAAATCATGCCTCTTCTTGGGCGGACAAGTTCGAACAATTGGGATACAGTAATGAATGGACAGACGAGAAGATGATTCGCATGGCTAAAAGGTACTGCAAGGTGGAATACCGAGACGAAATCGATGAGTTGGTTCGGATCTCCCAAGATTGGTCAAATTTCAAGGCGCGGTTGCTGGAGAAGTACCAGCTCAGCGATCGGTTGCTTGACCTTCACGACATGAGGGCGTTAATGACTTATCAGTAGAGCCGGAAGGATTCAGGGAACAAGTGGTTGAGCGAGAGCAAACCATCACTGGGTGGCTTGCCCGATGTCGGGACTCCATTATCCAACTTTGCATGGACATGGAGGAAGCCTGACCTCGATTGCCGAATGTCCTTCTCTTTGGAGAATGGGGTAATCAAAAGGAGGATGCGCCTGACCACATAGGGACGTCTGCACCGAGGGAAATATTGCAAACTAGGCCGATGGTAAACACGATGTGACCCAGAGTTGTGTTAAAGAGAAGTGCCCCGACTATAGCTGTTCAAACTCGGATGCGACGACGAAGCAAGCAGCTTCAGAAGGAAGGAGGGTATCGCAAGAAGTTTGGTACTACTAAACAATTTTTATCGGAATTTGAACGTGTGACTCGCCTAATCCTAGACTTATCTGATAATGATCGCTGCCTTATATTCCTTGACAACTTCAATGACGTCGAGCAGTCAAAGTTGGTTGAAGGAATGAAAAGGAGGTATGACTGGACTAAAGTCCGACAAAATGTGCTGGTGGAAGGTTTGACGATATCCTCTACCGGTTGTTGAGGCAGCAAAAGTAGGAACGAGAAAAAGTGAAGCTGGGAGAGGTGAAGGATGGTGAGATTTACAAAACCTTGGCCTGCATAAGAGAGATGATGGAGGGCATGAAAGAGGAAAGGTTGAAGCTTCAAGTCATGGTGGCCAAAGAGAAAAAGAGTAAGAGGAGGGGAAAGAGCCGATGGAGGAAGAAAGTAACAGTGAGAGCGAGGAGGAAGAGGAGCTGCCTCGTAAATTGACAAAGGTGGAAAGGAAGGTCTTGAATCAAATTCGAGGCGGGCAGGAGACCTCCCGTAAACAGGGAAGGGATGATGGACAAAATAACCAAGGAGGGAATGGCAGTGTTGGCGGTGGTTCAGCGGGACAAAGTTCCCAAGATCAGGGGCAGTTCCAGCCGCAGGGTGGACGAGGCCGCGGTCGAGGCCGCGGGAATGGACAATGAAGCCATTGGGCATTGCAGCAGGAGGTCACGTGTAACTATTGTGCAGAAAATGTGTCATATTATACGGTTTTGTCAACTTCTATCAAAAGATGAGAAGGAAGGGAAAGTCTTCACCACGATACGTGGTGAAGTCTTCGATTACGAAGGGAATCTGATCGACCCCAACATTGAAGGGGGTATGAGGAACGAGGCGTTTCACCGAATGGGTCGTTCCCTTCCGGCTACGTTCCGGACTGCCTCCCCAAAAGAAGCGTGGTTGGCAAAGATTGAGGAGGCCATGACATGGCTGGCTATCCCTATTAGTGGAAACGAGGAGGATAACGAGGATGAGAGCTTGCGGGCCGAAGAGGACGAACGGGCTCGTCGACGCGCGCTAGAAAGAGATCCTGAAAAAAGGAAGGTCGAGGTAAGCGAGGAGGAGCCACGTAAAAAGAAGAACATTTACTCAATCCCCGTGGAGCACGGGATCGATATTGAGCGACTTATTGATAATATCCTGGAAAGTCAACGCGACTTGGTCACGTTGAAGGAAATTTTGGTGGTGTCACCAAAGATTCGAGAGGAATTTAAGCAGCGAATGACTCGCAAGAGAGTCATAAGAGTTAAGCTCGACGAAGTCATTCCGCACGAGGCTAACTGGTCCCCACCTGGGACAAAGATGGATTGACGAAGTGTGTCGACCGGCCTGAAGGTCCAGATTGGACAACAGGAGTATTCGACGCTCGTGGACAATGGGGCCGAGATGAACATCATTCGCGAGCGTCATGCCATCGAGGCTGGATTGAAAATCAACTGAGATGACTATGGGTTTTTGGTAGAAGCTAGCGGATCGACTCCATTCTGCGAAACAACCAGTGGCGTCCTTGTCACGATCGGAAAAGTCAAGGTCCGTGCTTATTTCTATGTGTTACCCTGAGTGGAACACGAAGTGCTTTTGGGAAGGACATTTTTATGTTGGTTGGAAAGCATCATTATCAACAAGCATGATGGAACCATGTTTGTGTTCAGGGCACATACGGGCACTTGAGAGGTGAGAGGGGCGGTGCTGGGCAGCGGACCACGAGCAGCCATAGCCGGGCGGCAAGGCGCTAGGAGGTAAAGAGGGCGATCGGTGGTCTTCAGGAAGGAGGCGAGTGTGGGTGGTCAGGGTCTGATGAGGGGAGACGAGATGCGTACTTGGTGCATAAGGGAGGTCGGCTATGTTGTTGATGTCGTGTACATTGGTCTTCAGAATCTAAGTGAGCCTGTTGTGTGAATGCTGATGCAGGTAAGATAGGCAAGTAGTGTAGGTTGGGCATTGGGCGCCAGAAAAAGAGGAGCGGCATTTGACACTGTCTTGGTGTGGCCTGAGGACTTGATCATTGTATTGCTCTTATTTGGATGGATTCTCGGTGCATTTGTGTTTTCTGCTTGTACATCTGTGTGATTTCGTAACTTGGCTTTCTATATATCGTTCCCACTCATATTCCTTGCAATTTGGTACCGGAGCTGGTTCGTGATCGCCACTTACCTGGCGTTGGCAACATTGTTATTGGTGCGCTGACGATTCTTCTGTGCAGTGAGGATACTTTGGCGCTGGCTTGTTGACCAGGACCAAGGTAGAGGGGTCGGCCGCTGGAAGGCGGTGGCAACAGTGGATGTATGTGTGGTGATGAGAGCATGTTGATGTGGCATTTTGGGTCGTATCGAAGCTACGACTGGTCATAGAACTACACGTCGGCTCAATTGGTGACAAATCTGTGGTTGAGGGCAACTATCTTCAGGTACGATGTTCCCTTTCCTTATCTACCCTCTGAATCTCTTCTTACCGTGAGGAAGTGAGTCCAACCTTGAGTGTCCTCTCTTTTGTATGAGGAGTCGTGAGCGCTCCACCTTGAGAGACGACATTCTTTCCCGGGGCGCATCTGGCAGGAGAGGGCAGTGCCTCTGAAGGTCCGGTGTAGAAGCTAAGTCTCTGTGGGATACGGGCAAGTCAAGGTAAAACCTAAGTCGGTGGGGTGATGATCGTTGTGGTGCGGAGGTTGGTATCATGTGGCGGCCATGATCGCTAGTATCAGGATAAGAAAGATGAATGTGAACGAGTGGTTGTATGGCCGAGAATCATAGTCAGAGCGCAGAAGGTTTGCACGCTATCAATCTTCGATTCCTTCTCTTCTTAAAATTGGAAGCAAAGTTCACGGCAGATTATTGACTTTGGTTCTGGACTGGGTAGCATGACATGAGTGTACGTGGGTTACGCATACACGCGTACACGTATTCCTGTATGTGACACGTACGTGCGTACACATACTCCCTTACGTGGGAATCCGTAAAAAAACAAAAAACAAAAAAAAACGTTATCAAAAAAATCTTAAAATAAACTATGTTATGCAAAATGATATTTCAAACAACTTTTGAATGAAAATGATCTCAAACTTCTTTGCCAAATCAAAAACACAAAAAATAAATCAATTGAAATAATTAAAAAAAGAAATAAGAAAAAAATAGAAACAACAAAAATAAATTGTTTTAACATATATATGTTATGCAGAAACATTATACAAACAACTTTTTCCCTGGAGTCAAAGACTTGTACGGGGTCTTTCCATAAAAAACGTACGGGTAATATCTGTACAGGATCCGTACGGGAACTTGCATGTCTTGTACACCCTATATGAAAAAAAAAAAAAAAAAAAAGTCATCAAAAAATAAAAATAAAAAAAATGTGTTGCAACAGCACAAAACAAGCAACATTTGGTTGAACATCATCTTTAGATTCTTATTTGAATTTGTTTAACAACATTAAAAAAAAAAAAGAAAAAAAAAGTGTGGGGCCCTAGCGTACAAATAGCGTACGAGTACATGAGTATGAATTCATACTCGTACGGGGGTGCGTACAATTAGGAACGCAACAAAAACTTAAAAAAAAGTAATATTATCAAAATAATAGAAAAATCTTTTAAACACTATTTTTTTTTTTTTTTACATACGTGTACGTGTGATTTTGGGTTCGTACATGGACACCAAAGACGTAGACGTATGCACTGCGTACGCGCACGGGGTCCTACCCAGGTTCTCAGATCTTTTTTTGGGTGTTTATAATTTATTTTTTTTCTCTAGTCCCCTTCTTCGGTCAAGCTATGTCTCTGTCCTCCTCCTCTGACTTTATCTTCCCTCTCTCTCTTTCCTACTAGACAATGATCATGAATGTTTGAAAGTTCCCGATATTTTTCCCTGCTCGTCTCCTCCAATTTGATCGGTTCTTGTGAGAATGGGTATCGTTGAATTTAAGAGACCCGCAACCTTGAGGGATCTTGTCTCGCCCCATTCTTGGCTCCATAGTCTACGACGGTTTATGCACAAGTATCCTCTCACATGTATGTATCGATTGAGTTTTTGTTTCGATGATGGTAACAAATTAAGATTCTGATATGATGCAGGTTCGCATGAATGGATGTTGATCGTCCTCTTGATTGGAATAACTTGCATGATTTATGAGGCTTAGTGATGTGTGCATTTGTCCCCATGATCGAATAACGAATCAAATAGACAAGGGCAATCTGTTTTGCTTATGCCATATGGACCGATTGCCCCCATCCGACTGGGCGTCGTCCTCCCGTATCCCCACCATGCCCGTTTCCGTATAACTGTGTAACACTGTGTTAGCATTGGGAGGCGAACGCGAACATGTTCGCCCGAACACGAACAACCGCCCAAAACCCTCCAAACGTGAACATAAAAAATATATTTAAAAAAACAAAATAAAAAGTTTTCAGAAAACTCTGAGAAAAATATATGTTATGTAAAATATTAATACAAGAAATATTTGCTATAGAGTCATGTTCAAATTCGTAGCCAATCATGAGTTAAAAATCAAAAACCGAATTTGTTTTTCTTTTTTTTTACAAAAAAATATATATATATTCGCCCGAACATGCGCGTAAGTTGTTTGCGCGAACGTAAAAGGGCACGAATACGTTCGTCGTGTTACGCAGCCGTATAATGAGGAAAGGACACGTTTATGCGATTGGGACATACGATAAGTCGTCACCAAGATCGGTCGATGGTACTATTTTCCTCCTGAAACGCGGTGCTCCGGTTTCGTAGGCGCTGGTTTTATCATTATCAACACTCATTTCACCCCGTATTCATTGTTATTGCCTTTTAATGCGTTGAATGTCATCCCGTGGATGGCGGTGGCACCCTATTGGCCCGCACCGAGCGTTACAAGAAAAAGGGGTAACCGTTCCACTACCGGACACGTGGCGAAGACAAGCACAAGGAAAGAGCAACCCGGCTGAAGCCATCCACACCGGATTCCGAACTTTGTAACGAACGATGTCAGGACCTAATTCGGAAACGAGATCCGACGAGAGTCCTCTCGCCCTTCCATTCGAAAAGACAATGAGCAGCCCGCATGGAGGTTCAAAGATCCTTTTAGGATTAAACGAACGTTTGAATGCAGCGCGCGCTATATCTTTCCCACGCGACAATTGCCATTTCTCACTAAACTATAACCACATGGGATATTTTAGTTTTGTTTGTGTCTCCACACTCAATTTTCAAAAATCCTTGGCAGGCCCTCTTCTGTTGTTATTTAAGGCTATGAATCCCCCTCGACGGCGGCCAAGCGCGGCCGAATCCGCAGACGCGGCCAGTCCGCCGACCCCACGGACGTGTCCACGCGGACGCGCTGCTTTGACGCCACGTGGCGGCCAGAGGGGAAGGGGGTTGGAGATTTGGGAAGCGCCATGGGGCAGCGCAACCCCGGCCCCACCCCCTCGCACAAAAAAAAATGAAAAAAAAACAATTTTTTATTGGGGGGTTAGGCTGCAGACGAGGAGAAATGAAGGAAAAATAAATGAACGTGTTTTTTTTTTTTTTTCCATTGATTGATTGATTGATTCATTTAATAGTCGATTTTGCTTTTTTTTTTTGTTGTTGGTTGATTGATTGATTGATTGATTGGTGGGGGAGGGGTCGCCCCGCCCCACCGCCACCCACCACGTGCACACACACACACACACTCTCACAAGTGCGTTGTCCGCGCGCGGGGGAAGGGCGCAGCGCGGCAGCCCACACACGCACACACACACACACACACACACACACACACACACACTCACTCACTCACTCGCTCACTCACAATCAATCAATCAATCAATCAATCAAACCCCTTTTTTATTTTTTTATTTTGAAATTCTGCATCTGCATTTTTTTAAAACACCTCAAACCCCTGCGAAAAATAGAAATTCATTTCTCAAAAAAATACAGGTCAACTCAGGGACCATATATCTCATGATAAAAAATGACAAAACAAATTCCTGCTTTTCTTTATATATCGTCAAACAGAACTGCCCGGTAAACTGTAGGCAGAGAGGAAGAAGAGGACAACAAACGAGGGGCTGTGACAAACTGTTTCATCGGAGTTTCACCGACTCATCAGGAGGCTGAACCCTCAACAGTCTGCAGAATCCCCTCACTGATTACACTGTAAGTGATAATCCACCTTAACCAAAATCAAAGTAGACTATCACTCACCCACACCAGATGGAAAACTCTACAGACTGTCGGTTCACACCCCATCACAAGCCAGCCAAACACCCACGAAACAAAGATACACTCCAGACACGCCGCTGGCACTAGAGGCACAACATGGCCGCGTAGTGACGGCCCCGACCACTGCCGCTCGACCTGACCGGAGAAAACCGTAGCAGGTATATATATATTTTTTTCTTTAAATCCAATTCAGTTTTTGATTTTTAAAAAATCCTAAACAAAGTCGGTTTCAAAAAATATATATATGGGGGTGTAGGGCTTAAAATACCCTACAACCCCATATATATATATATTTTACCTATTATTTAATTAAGGAAAATTCTGGTAAAATCGGGTCCGCGGCGCGGATCAGGACGGCCACGGACGCGGCCACATATGCGGCCGCCATCCGAGATCAGCCCCGCGGACGCGTCCGCAGGTGTTTCATGGCTTTCAGGGCCTGTTCCACATAATTTGTCACTCTAACTGGAAGACAATACAGCATGTGAGGTTAGAACGTCACATGGAGGGCCTTGAGTCCAATGATGCACCAAGAGAGAAACGGGACCGACAGTACCAACGCAAGGACACAAATCCCAAAAGGGAAGCCGACTTTGAAATATAACGGTGTGCAGGACAAACAGTACAAACAACGATCAGAGCTGAGGGGGGAGAAAGAGGAACTCATCGGGAACGAGGAAGGAACAGGAACTACGTTCAGAAGTACTGGGACAAAATGAAACAAACAACAAGGGGGGTAGTACAGCAGTAAGGCTACTAGGAGACTGTGGGAAGGGAGGTCCTGATGTAAGGGGCAGGCAAAAGGGGAGTCTTCAGCCACTGACGTAGACACAAAGGTTGGGAGATAAGAATAGCCGAAGTCCAGAGCACATAACTGTAGGTTAACAGATCAGGCTTTGAGTCATCCCTGCTGCCACAACTGTAATGCTCAAATTGTCAATCTGTATCAAGGGACGCTAGACCCCCTTTCCAGCAGGTGACGCTCCGCACCAATAGACTGGAGCGATCTAAAACTGGGACCCTGTTAATGGAGGATG